GATCCACACTGCCAGGTCCCCATTCTAGCTGCCACCTCTAGTCACCAGTTTCCTATTCTCCTACCGACCCAAGCTGGCTCTCTCTGCCCCTCAGCTCCTGGACTCCCTAGCTCCTGAGAATCATCACAAAGACCAGGCCAACTTGCCACGGGCAGCACGAGCCAGCCAGTCCAACCCCATCCTGGCCTTGCAGCTCAGAGAGGAAGTGACCTCCCAGAGCATGTGGTTAGGGGTCGAGCCTACACTCCACTCCCACTCAGCACTGTCTCCCAGGGCACAGCCCTTCCCACCTCTCTGGGGGCTCCTCCCTGCAGGACTCCAAAAGGGCCATGCAGAGGGGTCACCACTGCCCGTGCCTCAGCCCCTGGACCAGACGCTCCCAGCAACAGAGAAGCAAGGCCAAGCCCTCAATCCTCAGTCCACAGACTCCCTAGCCCTGGCCAACCTCTGCAGAGCTCCTGATCCCTGAGCAAACTCTGAGGGCTCCGCAGGGCTGTGGGCAGGCCCAGGGTCCCGGAACAATGGCAGCAGAGCATGGCACAGCAACGCAGATGCTAGAGCAAAGAGCCCAGGCCCGACTCCCAGCCCCTGAGCAGGGCCCTGCAAGAAGTCTTCCAAGGCCGACTGCCACCCACTACGTGGCTCCACTCCCCACCTCGTTCTGAAGGCAAGCCTCAAGACAGCCAGGGGGTTGCTGCCAAGACAATCAACCACAGGCCACACGGTGGCTGTCTTCTAGAAGCAACGCTCAGGAAGAGAAACGGGTTCCAAATGAGCCACTGGGCAAAATTATCAATTTTAGATATATGTTGAAGTCCAAAACTAGATTCCCCTCCCCACCCTGCCAACCCAAAGCTGAACTTACACGCACTCCCTTTTCTCCAGAGTATTTTTAGATTACTAGAAATCTCTCTTAAAAACCCCTGGACGGTAACAATGAGCAAAGGAGAAAAGAGGAATGACCTTGCCACTTTATCTCGCTTTTTAACAGAGGAAACTTTATCAAGAACCCCGAGGCAGCAGCAGGAAGCTAGATCCCTGCCCATCTCCCCAACTGCTCCCCCGAGGAGTGACCCCACTCCTGGCAGTGGATCTCCGATGCCAGGAGAAGTCAGCTCTCACACTGACATGGCTCATTCAGTGGGGCAAACCACACTTGTGGGCTTGAACTTCCTAAGCATCCGTGAAGTCCATGCTGTCATCTGAGTTCCACAGATGAGGATTTCAGAGGACACAGCCAAGGCCACAGAGCCGCTCGATTCTAGAGCAGGCCGCACCGTCAGCTCCTTGTCCACACTGCTCTTCACCTTGCATCCCCAGTCAGGTTACATATGAGAGACAGCAATCAATGTTTCTTTCTTACATTGATCTCTCTCTCTCTCTCTCTCTCTCTCTCTCTCTCTCTCTCTCTCTCTCTCTCTCAAAATCAATAAAAACACATCCACAGGTGAAGATAAAAAGAAAAAGTTAAAGGTAAAGGTGAGCACCTCTGTCTTCCCTTCTCCATTGTCTGCCTCAAGCCTCAGAGCAACCTGTGTCCTGCCCGACCCCCACCCCACAGAACTGATAGTTGCGCCACACAGGTGCCTAAGATGTTAGTGCTATGCTTATAAGACTATAAGAATGTGTGGATGAAAAAGAAAGTGGCAATTCAAGCGGGAACTCTCTGAAGGCTACAGAGACATGTAATGGAAAAGGGGTGAGAGGCAGTGATCCCGGGACCAGCTCCCGGGAAGCGTGGCTGAGTCACTCAGGGAAGTGGACTGTCTTCTTTCTGAGCATAAAGAGCCACTCCCTCTCCTGTGGGATGTGTGGAGGCCAGGGGGTACGAAGGGGTCTAAAAGCGGCTGGTGGATGTAATAGACTCTACTCCCACACCACAGGTGCCAAGCTGGCTCTGGACAAAGAATCCTGGGCAGCAATGGCACACTCTAGGCATAAGCCTTGGGAACCGGCATGAGGTTTGCCACTCTTTTCCCTTTGTCATGAGACCACTAGAGTTTCCAATAGACCATTTGAGTTTCCAATAGACCATTCAAGTTTCCAATAGACCATTAGCATTTCCAACAAAGGCAGCTCCTTCAGTCTGGGGCCCATATCAAATTCCACATGCAAATGGGTGTGTAATACGGGTGTGTAAGAAACCTCTGGGTTGGTGGAAGTCGCTGAGACTTTGGGATTATTTGTTACTGTGGCAGAACCATGCATAATCTGACTCACACACAGGGACACCGTGAATTGAGTTGAAGAGCTCAACAACAGTGCAACAGAGAAAGACAGTGAGTTTCCCTTGCCCTTGTTTTGGGGAAGATGAAAAGCAGAAATGAAATCTTCCATCACCACTTGTTAGGCCCCAATAAATTTAATTTTAAAAATAAATAAATAAATAAATAGAATTTAAAACAGAAAGCAGAGGCTAAGGTTGAATACAGAGATGCTAAGGCATGGGTTCAGCTCTGGCCCCAGTGAGCACATGGCACCCAGGAAGGCTAGCCTAACCTCTCACATGTGGCTCTGGGTTTTCTCATTGCTCTCGGCTCAGCCTCCCTCATGGGGCCCTGAGGGGACTCACACACACACCAGGGTCCAATGCGGAGAAGCAAGGGCTGTTCTTTGGAATCTGAAAGACTGGGGTCTCATCCCGACTCTGGCCCTTCATTTCTGCCTTCTCCCATTCCTCATGGATACTTCCTATGGCAGGCTCAGGGGAAAGGGACAACGGCCTGCGTTTCACAGGCTCACAATTAGATAGGGAGACAGACACCAGCAAAAAAGGAGATAAATGCCAGTTGGTGAAGAATATTAAATAAATACAGTGAATTGAGAGAAATTGGTGAAGGCTGCTTAGGGTAAGGGTTCAGGGAAGGTTTCTCTGAGGAGGAGATATTTCAGATGAAAAACGGGAATGTGTTAGACATGCAAAAATAAAAAAAAATAAAAAATTAAAAAACTAGGGAAACAGCAAGTGCAAAGGGCTCGAGGTGGGGGGAAAAATGGCTTGTTTGAGGAACAGGAAAAAGCCAGAGCTGGGAAAACAAGGAAACCATTGTGGCATGAGGCCAGAAGCAGACCGGTCATCGGGACCTTGTGGGCCCCAGCATGAAGTTGGAAGTTCATTGCAAGTGTGAAGGGAAGCAGGGGGTCGTGGGCAGGGAGCACCAGGACCTGGTTTCTGGTTAAAAGAGTCTCAGGATGTTGTGCGGACAGTGGCTTGTTCAGGGGCCACAATGAAAGAGACAGACCAGTGAGGACACTTGCAGCCTGCTGGGGCTCTGTGACCTTTGTGTCCTTGGGCAATCCCTTAACAGTGCTACGTCTCAGTCGTCCCATCTGTAGAGTGTGCCTACTGTCTGCACTTCCTAGTTCACAAACTCTTTGGGCTCCTGGAGGTGGGTGGGAATGAAGGTGCACATGACCTTGCTCGCCCCTGCATGGTTCCTTCTAATCACTTCACCTGCCTTTCCTGGAGCTAGAGCAACGTCCTGAACTTGCCTGTGAAGGTCTCCCAGAATCTCAAGACCCCATATTCTTCAATGCCTACCGTGACAATGGGTTTCTCTCTCCTTCTGGATGGAGTTGAGAACACCTGGGAGATGGCCAGGAATCAAGACAAATGCAGGAGAAATACAGGGTAATGTGGAGGCCAGTCAAGCTTCCAGGAGGCCAGCAAAAGGGAAATAGAGGCAGATAAAGGTCAGACAGGTACTAATTATGGCAAGAGAGATCAATCCTGACCAGGGGAGTCCTCAGGCAAATCTGGGCTCAACATTGATGAAGGAAGGAGCAAGGCAAAGACACAACTTATTCAGAGAACCTGACAGCCTGACCAGGCCACTGGACAGTGAGAGACACATGGAGCAGAGAAGAGCTGTCTCAGCGGAGCCTACCCTGGATTAGCCAGCCCCGGTTGACCTGACAGCTGTCTGGTGACACATGAGCAAGCTCAGCTCAGATCATCTGAGGCTGGCCCATCCCAGAAAAACTGTCTAGTTGACTCAGAAACTCATAAATCATGAATGCTCCTTTATTTTAAGCCACTGAGCTTGGAGATAATTTGTTACACAGCAATCACTGACTGATACAGAGGGTACAATGGCCAGAGGCCCTTCCTGTTTCCCTGTAGCAGGCCTCCGCTAGCATCACACTCCTGTCTCCCTGTCCGAGTCCTCTACATGTTCAGCTCACTGGACTGGGTCATGAGCCATGAACTTGTCTCTACAAGTTTCTTTGTGATCTTAGAAAAATGTCTTCCCCTCTCCGGGACTGTTTTCTTATCTGTAAAAATCGAAGCAACGAAATACTTCCAGGAGCCTCCCAGCTCTCAGGTTCTATGTTTGGATAACTCTGACCTCCTCCCTAAACCAAGTGTCCCCTTGCTCCTTCCCTCCTTCCCTCTGTCATTTACTCAGCAAGCATTTGCTCAGAGCCTGCTGAGGGCCCGGCCTTGGCCAGGTCTAGTAGGGACACAGGCTCAGACAACAAGATTCAGATCCGGCCTACCGGGAACTCCTCTGACAGCTCACTGTCTTGCGAGTGTAGAGAGGATGCCTCTGAGGAGCTCTTGGTGGCCGAGGTGAGGACAGTGGGCAAGAGCCATGTTCACCCCTTCCCAGCAGAAAGAGGGATGCACACTCAATACCCAGGTGCCTCAGCCTCGGGGCTCCTGCTCAGAGATCGGCCTTGGTGTCCTAAGGCCTCGAGAAAGGTCCCTGTGTATTTCAGCACATGCCCCGAGGAAATGAGAACTGGGCCTTGGACTCAGCACACTCAATGTGCACGTAAATGACAGGAAGGGGACCTTTGTCCACTCAGTCTCACCCGAGGGAGCCAGGAGCGCTGACCCTTACCCCTGGGAGACGGGCCCATGTTTGTGGGAGAGTGAAATGAGCAGTTGTAAGTCCTTTACAGCCCTGATTACAGCAGCCCTGTGGGACCTCCTCCCAGGCTCCGAAAGAGGTGGGCCTTTGGGAGGGTCTGCAGGGGACCCAGCGCCGTCCTACCGTGGAACCATGGGGCGATGGACTTGGTGTTCCTCTCGAAGCCAGCTTGGCGAGGCAGCTGCTCCTCCTTGAACCAGCGGACTATGACTTCTCTGGAGACGGGACGCAGAGGGCGCTCCCAAGTCCTGCAGAGAAGAGAGAGGGAGCGAGGGAGAGTCAGGGGGGAGGGGACAGACGGAAGGAGGGAGGCCACTGTGAGGACGAATAAGCACAGTGCCCACACTCACGCCTGCGGAGAGGATGCAATGAGAGTCGGGTACTCGAAGACACTTTGCAGATTGGAATGTACCAGCTGTGACTCTCGTTCCCCAAAGAACACTGTGATCACTTGCTTTGAAGAGAGCCACCCAGGTGGGGGTGGGAAAGAGGACGGGCAGGGTGTCTGGGGGAAGGAAAAGGCACGTTTTCCCTCATGGATGGCCAGGTGTGAGTGTGAGCGTCCACGAAGAAGGACCCTAATGTAACGGGAGCAAAATTATTAACGTGTGAGGGTCCTCCATAACCCCCCCCACACACACACACACACACTCACACACACCAAGAAAGAGAATTCCAGTCTGTCCCTCAGGTAGCTCCTCCCCCAGCCTTCTCAGGGGACACCTGCCTTCGCCAGCTGCTCCCTGCTCCATGTGGCAGAATCAGGACAGTGAACAGAGAGAAACCAAGAACCCGACTGGCTGTGGCTGTGGCTGTGGCTGTGGCTGTGTCTGAGATGCACCACCGAGAAACAAAAAGGACAAGGACAGAGGAAAGTTGGGGGACAGAGGACAGGGACAGAGCAGTGTGCTGGCTGACTTGATAGATTTGAAGGGGTCTAGGGAGAGGCTGAAGATAGTGAGCGTGAGACAAAGAGAGGCACTTGAAGAATTTATGGGTCACGAGCTACATATTTTTTATGTTTTCTCACAATCAAGCCCAGATTTTAGCGTGTTTGTGTCTGAACTGCGGCTCTTGAATGTGTATAGAGGTTGGGCCGCCGAACAGCCCTGTGGCACTGGAACTACACCGACAGGAAGCACAGTTAGAGTTGGATAGCACGGGACACGTACTAGGCAAATGGTGACAATGGCATGAGGTGACAATGGCAAGGCCACGTGCCCTGGTCTGTGTGGTAGCTAGGTGAGAGCACAGCAGCTGACCAGCAGCCTGTCAGTGCCACCCTCCGATGGTGCTGGCATTTAGAATTCACCATTTTATTTATAAAAAGAGCTGTCCCTGCACGTGTCCTGCATTTGCCCTGCACGAACACTTAGATGCCGAGTTCAGCGCTTCCTTGCAAACCCCAGGATGAGGTCATATATTAACTTGCCCTCGAATGAATCCCCTCACACACATACACAGCAGCGAGCTGTGTGACGTGAGGAAAGGGTCGCACGGAAGCCAGCGGGTGAGGTTCCATCGCAGGCTTACCGCCACCAGCGTGGAGTTTATTCCCAAAAATCCTCCTTCCCCCACCGCCTCCCTGGGCAATTCTGCACCCCACTGCCAGCTCTGCTCCTGCTGACCCCACTTTGGGGTTCCCCTCACAGTCACCTCGGAGGCCCTGCCTCTTTGTTACCAGCACACGGCAGCCCTGCCCAGCCTGGTGTTCCTCCACACTCCTGTCCCCAATCAGTAGCTGCTCCGGAGAAACGTGTCTGGTTGTGAGGACTCATGTTCCTTAGAAGGCAAGAGGAGGCTACAAATAACAGCAAGAAAGACAGTTCCTCCCGTCCCTCTGTTCTGAGCAGACTGGCCAGAGCCGGAATGCTGGGGGTCACCGGCCAGAAGCCTGACTCCTGCACCAGCAACAGTGCGTCTGCCCTGGCACAGCCAGACCAGGTGTGCCCAGGCGGCAGCGCTAATAGTGGTGCAGTCAGGACACTGGGCCCCGGGGGCAGCCAAGCAGGAGGCTGATGCAGGTTCTGTATTTAAAAACCATAATAAAAACCCTGTGTAGAATATGCAAAGTTTCATGCAAAAAAAAAAAAAAAAAAAAAAAAAAAAAGGAGAGACTATGACTTCTCTGTTGGCAGTTGCCAAAGGAAATGACAGACACACTGGGAACGGGGGTTCCCTTGGGGAGAGGGCGCTGAGCAGAAAAACTCAGGCAGCCGCCCATCACCTGGGGGGGGCACCCCATCTGCATGGCCCCTGCACCCCTTGGTGAGAGCTGATGCTCCCCTACTGAGAGCAATGGCAGCCGCCTGGAGCCCGCTGCACCACGGCCCAGGCAGCTCCACACGTGGGCCTGCAGGACCAGCCATCCGTTTCCTGTGAAATGGCACATTATCCTTCTCCTGGGAAAATGCCAAGAAGGCTTTTCTAGCTCTGTCTCCAAAGCCGGGAAACATGAAAGAGAACCTGACCTCATAAAAGTCAGGAATTCCTGCTTGACAGAAAACTTCGTCAGAAAAACCAAGAATTCCCGCGTGACAGAAGACTTCACGGCAAAGGGCAAAGGACAAATGGCAAACAGGGGAAACGTGTTTATCACAAACAACAGTATCCTCTCCCCTCATACTTAAAGAGTTCTTAGAAATGGGGGATGAGGAACAAATAACAACACAATAAAAACCGGGGAGAGGGAAGCTGAGACAGATATGGAAATAGCAGTGGTCCTTAAACAGATACAAAATACCTGACCTCATCATAAAGAGAAATCAATTCCAAGCTTTCACTATAAATGGGGGGGGGGGGGGGAGGACATAATACAGAACCCTGTGTAGAACATGCAAAGTTTTTTTCAAAAAAAAGGAGAGAATATGACTTCTCTGTTGGCAGTTGCCAAAGGAAATGACAGACACACGAACAGGGGTTCCCTTGGGGAGAGGGCGCTGAGGAGAAGAGGACAAGGATGGGAGTGGGTCTTTCCTCCCTGTCTTTTTTAACTTCCTGGTTTGTGAATCACATAAGTGACTGGAAGGGGAAAGGAAAGAAGGATAGGAAGGAGGAAATTCAGACGAGGTCAGTCCTCCCTACCTGCAGGGAGAGCGAGACGCAGAGAATGAGTAATCCTAATCCCAATTAAAGCAAAACTCAGGCAGCCGTCCATCACCTGGGGGGGGGGGGGGGGGGGGTGACTCTCTACAGGTGAGCTGTGGTACAGACAGCCGGCCATCACCTGGGGGGGGGGGGGTACTCTCTGCAGGTGAGCTGGGGTTCAGACAGCTGTCCATCACCTGAGAGGGTGGACTCTCTGCAGGTGAGGTGTGGTTCAGACAGCCGTCCATCACCTGGGGTGGGGGGGGTGGACTCTCTGCAGGTGAGCTGTGGTTCAGACAGCTGTCCATCACCTGGGGTGGGGGGGGGGGGACTCTCTGCAGGTGAGCTGTGGTTCAGACAGCTGTCCATCCCCCCGGGGGGGGGGGGAGTGGACTCTGCAGGTGAACTGTGGTTTAGACAGCTGTCCATTACCTGGGGAGGCAGGGGGAGTGGACTCTCTGAGCTGTGGTTCAGACAGCTGTCCATCACCTGGGGGGGTGGGCTCTCTGCAGGTGAGGTGTGGTTCAGACAGCCGTCCATCACCTGGGGGGGGGGGGGTGGACTCTCTGCAGGTGAGCTGTGGTTAAGACAGCTGTCCATTACCTGGGGAGGCAGGGAGAATGGACTCTCTGAGCTGTGGTTCAGACAGCTGTCCATCACCTGGGGGGGAGTGGACTCTGCAGGTGAGCTGTGGTTCAGACAGCTGTCCATCACCTGGGGGGTGGGGGGGTGGTGACTCTCTACAGGTGAGCTGTGGTACAGACAGCCGGCCATCACCTGGGGGGGGGGGGGGTACTCTCTGCAGGTGAGCTGTGGTTCAGACAGCTGTCCATCACCTGAGAGGGTGGACTCTCTGCAGGTGAGCTGTGGTTCAGACAGCTGTCCATCACCTGGGGAGGCAGGGGGAGTGGACTCTCTGAACTGTGGTTCAGACAGCTGTCCATCACCTGGGGGAGAGTGGACTCTGCAGGTGAGCTGTGGTTCAGACAGCTGTCCATCATCTGAGGGGGTGGGCTCTCTGCAGGTGAGCTGTGGTTCAGACAGCTGTCCATCACCTGGGGGGAGTGGACTCTGCAGGTGAGCTGTGGTTCAGACAGCCGTCCATCACTTGGGGGGGGAGGGGGTGACTCTCTACAGGTGAGCTGTGTTCAGACAGCCGGCCATCACCTGAGGGGGTGGACTCTCTGCAGGTGAGGTGTGGTTCAGACAGCTGTCCATTACCTGGGGGGAGTGGACTCTGCAGGTGAGCTGTGGTTCAGACAGCTGTCCATCCCCCGGGGGGGGGGGAGTGGACTCTGCAGGTGAGCTGTGGTTCAGACAGCTGTCCATTACCTGGGGAGGCAGGGGGAGTGGACTCTCTGAGCTGTGGTTCAGACAGCTGTCCATCACCTTGCGAGTAGTGGACTCTGCAGGTGAGCTGTGGTTCAGGGAGCCGCAGGCACTCACGCCCAGCCTCAGTGATGGGAGCACAAATCTGGGACTGACGGGCACGAGCAGAAGGTGGAAGGCTCCAGGCAGCCACTTCCCACTTCCCCCTGGGTCCTGGCAATCATGGGCAGTCCCCTAAGTGCCCTCACCACACTCTTCCCGTGACACCAGCGTGTGTGTGCCTCCTGCATCCCACCACGCTCACCTGCAAAGCTGCTATCAGAACCCAGGATGGCCCAGCACTGCCTGTGGCTAGAGGCAGCCAGCCCAGGTTCCAGGCCACTGGGCAGCATCACTCCACCTGAGGTCTCACAGTGCCAGCTCCTAACCTGCGGCCTGTGGACCCTGGAGAGCTTGGAATTCCATGCAAGCAGCTGGGACTATTTATATACGCACGTTTGGGAGTGACGGGGGTACACAGCTTCCTTTAGATTCTCAAAGGAATACGAGTCCCCAAAAGGGTTAAGACTCCCAGGACTCCAGTTATTAGAAATCTCCAACCTCCCTTTTCCCCTCCTGCCTCACTCCACAGCCTGGGACACTGAGGCCCACAGAGGGGAAATGACTGACCCCAAATCTCACAGCAAGTTGGAGGCAGAACCAGGACTGGACCCAGGTGCCCCGTGCCCCCATCCAAGGCCCTGCCCCAGCAAGCACCCCCATGCCCCGCCCCCAACCCCCCCAGACTCACCTGACCGGGCCGGGAAAGTGGTGGCGGAGCCTGGCCTCCTCCCCGTGGCTCTGGCCAAGCTCCTGGAGCATAAAGCTGAGGCCGGCGACGGCGCCCTTCTGGAGGGCGCGGAGCGACAGGCGCCGGTACTCGTCCCGGGCGCGCTGGGCGCGGCGCCTCCTCTCCTCGTCCGCTGCCTTGGACCGCCGCACTGGAAGGGAGAGAAGTTCTAGAGCCGCAGCCCGGCCACACGGGAGCAGCCAGGTCAGCCAGGGCCCACGGGATTCCCCATGGGGCTGCACGGAGCCGGAACCGGATCAGCAGGCCACCCAGCCTGGACCAGCAGCCCTGGACTAGCCTGTCCCTGGGGGACAAGGACACACATGACAGTTCAGTACGGGGCTGTTCCTGGGCCCTGTTCCAGAATGAGCAGGAAGCCTCTGGGTGGAAATTTACGTCTCCATATGCACCTCCTCCTGCAGTGCCCTGCTCAGAGCAGCCTCTCACACCCGCTGCCCACCCACCCAGCTTCAAGGGCACCCGTCAAAGGGGTCGGCACCTCCAAACACCACTGTGATCTCCCACTCTGACTGTGGGGTTCCCCGTGCCGGCCCTGGGCCACATGCCTCCTCTGCACTAGTTCATGGCAGACACGCCAGGCCACCCACAGATCGGTCTGTGGGAGTTTGCCAGAAAGAAGAGAGGTCAGACGCCACCCTGAGAGGAAGCCTGGGCTCCGCAGCCCGGTGGGCATGCCTGTAAGTGCCTGATCCTGAGATGCTGTGATGTCAGACAGGGCCCAGGGCCCTTATGGGCTCTGCAGTCACCAGGCTGCAAATTGAACCCAGAAATTTGTGCCCTACAAGGGCCAGTGACCTTGGAGAGATTACAGTCCCTGGTGATCGCAGTGCTCAGTGACAGACAGACAGACAGACAGGTCGCAGAAGGAAGTCATACGCAGACGAGGAACTCAGCTGGGGAGGCCCTGAATCATTGGTCACACAGACACTACACCAGCCTCCGGCCCAGCGCTAATCCCACCTCTGTCTTCCTCAAAAGTCTTCCGTGGCTCCCTCTGTGCACAGGATAAAGGAAGAACCCCTTGGCCCTTTAGAGGTGTCCCACACACCCACTTTCTTCCCAGCCCACCGGGCTTTGAGCTCTTCCCACACTTGTGCCCTGGTCCCACCAAGCTCCCACCCCCCCCTACCTCCTTCAGCAAAGCCTTCTCTGTATGCATGGGCAGCCGAGGCAGCTCAGAAAGGCCAGCAGCAGCCCTGAGGGCACTGAGATGCTGCAGCAGGAAGCAGGACCCGGCCTTGGCCTTGGCAAAGCCAACCCTGCCACCCAGCCCAGGGTATGGCACCAGGTTCATAGAGTCAGAAAGCTTTCTTCTCTCTCTCTCTCTCTCTCTCTCTCTCTCTCTCTCTCTCTCTCTGTCTCCATACATTCCCTCCCCTTTTCTGAGATACAATTGACATATAACATTGTGTAAGTTAAGATGTACATGTGTTGGTTTGATACATTTATATAATTTAATAATTGACACTGTAGCATCAGCTAACATCTCTATCACATCCCATAATTATCATTTCATTTTTGTGATGAGAACATTTAAGATCCAGTCTCTTAGCAACTTTCAAATATATAACACAAAATTGTTCACTATAATTCTATACTGTGCATTGGATCTCCAAAATGTATCCATCTTTTTTAAAAATATTTTTATAGATTTCAGAGAAGAAGGAAGAGAGAGGGAAAAATAGAAACGTCAATGATGAGGGAGAATCATTGATTGGCTGCCTCCTGTAGGGCCCCCAGTGGCAGTCCAAGTACGTGCCTCGGAATCAAACTGTGACCTCCTGGAACTATGACCTCTTGGTTCGTAGCTGGATGCTCAACCACTAAGCCACACTGGCCAGACAAAAACTTACCCACCTGTAACTGCAAGTTTGCACCTTCTGACCGACGTCTCCCCAGTTCCTCCACCATCACCCCCAGCCCCTGGGAACCACCATTCTACTCTGTCTCTGTGAGTTGGGTTTTTTCTACTCCTCAGACCCATGAGAACATACAGTACTTGTCTTCCTCTGTCTGATTTATCTCACTCTGCATAAGGACCTCAAGGTCCAACCATATTGTTGCAGATGGCAACAATATTTCCTTCTTTCTTGTGGATGAATAATTTTGCATTGTGCATGTGTATGCATGCATGTGTGTCTGTGTGTGTGTGTGTGTGTGTGTGTGTGTGTGTGTTCCATATCTTCTTTCTCTATTCATCCACTGTTGGGTACTTGGGTTGTTTTCCTATCTTGGCTAATGTGAATAATGTTCAATGAGCATGAGGGTGCAGGAATCTTTTCAATATCCTGTTTTCATGTCCTTTGGTTATATACCCAGAACATTGCTGGACCATATGGTGGTTTTATTTTTAATTTTTTGGAGGAACCTCCATACTGTTTTCTATCGTGGTTGAGCCAATTTGCATTCCCCCCAGCAGTGCACAAGGGTTCCCTTTTCTCCTCATCCTCACCAACACTCCACAGCTTCCCTAAGGGAGTCTCCAGGCCTCCGTTTGCCCCTCTGCCAAATGGGAATGACATGGATGCCTACCTCACTGAGTTATAAAGGTTCAATGAAACTTACAGAACACTATAAAATGCTTCCGAAAAGCAACGTCTTATTAAATCAAGTCTCTCTAGGTGTGAGCCAGGTGCCCAGGAGCAGATTGCAATGTCACTTACCAGCTGTGTTACACTGAACAAGCCACTTACTCACCCTGGGCCTCCATTCCTCATAAGGAAGATGGAGATGGTAACAGTCAGTACTTCATAAAGTTGGTGAGGGTAAGGGAAGCTAACAACACAAGCCACTTAGATCCGTAAGCACCATGGCAAGTTAACTAAAATTTTTATTTTCATTAGCCCTGGCACTGCGAAGTCCAAAACAGAGCCAAGAACAGTTCTTGGACCGGCCAGGAGGGGGCACCCTTGCTTGTCCATCAGGTGGAATCTGTCCTGTGACCATTTGTAACTAGCTTCCTTTAAACTACACTCAGAACTTTAAAATGTGGCTTTTAGTTCCTTCTCAGGATCAGGGAAGGGTTTGGCCTGTATCCCATGAATCTGCTGTGAAAAAGCAGAATTCATGGAATGCTTTTTCATCTAACTCAGTGAATACAGCAAATTAGGCATAGAAGCCACGCTGGGAACAGTCACGGCAGTGTTTGCCCCAAGCCAGCAAGGTTTGGGCTGTCCTCCTGCCCCGAGGACCCGCTGCAGCCAGCCATGAGGGCTCACACCAAGCCGTCTGCCCCCTCCCACAGCCCTCACTCGCCCAAGGACTCCCACAGGCCTATTCAGCAGGCACTCCAGGGCCACTTTGCACACAGAGCAGTGGGGGCCAGGGGTCTCCTTTCTCCATCTCAAAGGGAGAGTCAGCCTTGTCTCACAGAAATAGCGGAAAGACGACAAAGCATGGAAACACTGAAGACTTTCATGGAAGGTTGGATTTAGATATAAAAAATGGACTGACCACACTTCACCTTCATTAGAATGATATAAAAGCCTAAACGACTGGCCAACCAGCTGACCAGCTGGTAGCTATGATGCACACTGACCACCAGGGGGCAGATACTCAACACAGGAGCAGAAACCACAGGCCTGGAAACATGGAACAGACTAATGAATCTCAGAGGGAAGGAGAGCTGAGGGAGGGTGGGAAGAGATTAACCAAAGATCTTATATGCATACTGGAGGCCCTGTGCACTGATTTGTTCACCAGTGGGGTCTCTCAGCCTGGCCTGTGGGGATTGATCCAAAACCAGCTCTCCGACATCCCCCTTGGCCTGGCTTGCAAGAGGGTGCAAGCCAGGCCAAGGGACCCCAGTGGTACACAAATCTGTGCACTGGGCCTCTAGTGGATAAATATTTTTTGTAAAAAACAGAAAGCAGTAAGCGTTGGCAAGAACATGGAGAAATTGTAACCCTTGTTTGTTGTTAAGAATGTAAAACGGTGCAGCTGCTATGGAAAATAGTATAGCAGTTCCATAAAAAATTAAACATACAGTTACTGTGTAATCCAACAATTCCACTCTGGATATAGACCCCAAAGAACTGAAAGGGGGATTGGAACAAGGATTTGCACACCATGTTCACAGCAATGCTAAAGGCGGGAGCAAAACGTCCGTGGATGGATGAACAGAGAAACACAGGGCAGTCTATACATACAAAGGAGGGTTGTTCATCCTTAAAAGGAAGGGAATTTGACCCATGGATGAGTCGTGAGGAAATTGTTAAGTGAATAAGCCAGACACAACAGGCAGTAAGGTGTGATTCTGCTTATATTCCACTCGTTGTACTTGGAGTAGTTAGTCATCAGCGGAAAGTAGAATGTGGCTGCCGGAGGCTGGGGAGGGGGAGGGGGCAGGGAAGAAGGGGGTTAGTATTTAATGGGGACAGAGTTGAAGTTTGGGAAGATGGAAAAGTTCGGGGAATGGTGTGACGATTGCACAACATGAATGTACCCAGTGCCACAGAACTCTACACTTACAATGGTTAAAATGGCACATTTTGTTGTGTATTTTACCACAAATTTTAAGAATGGACATTCTATAACCACCAGTTTGGCTGAGAATCAAGAGGCCGGAGTGCAACTGCGTGTCACTGTTGGCTGGATGTGTGCCCAGCTGTGGGTCCACCTCGACCTCTCCCCCCTACCCTTCTCTCCCCCCCCCCCTCGCCCCCCATCTCTCATCTGCAGGTGAGAAGGAGAGGTCCCTTTCATTCTGCCCTCTTGTCAGGGATGCGCCCATGCCTGTCCAGCCTGAGGCCACGTCCTCAGACCTGGAACCTTGCTCTCCAGGACTGCCAGCTGGACCCACCTGCTCAGTAAGAAAACCAAAATCTCACAGTGTTTAGGGCCCACCCTCACCCACATCAGACCTGGGAATTCCAGCTGCCTCTAGCCGGGCAGGAGGGCGGTGGAGTGGGAGGGGAGCATTGTGCCTGGTGTGGCTCCTAACACAGTCCCTATATTTCTCTGTTCACCCATCAGGACAAGTTTGCATACTGCTGGATCTTAGCTCCCTTCACCCAAGGGCTGCCCAAACTGCCAGGCTGTCCTGGACTCGGGCCCTCATCTGCCCACGGCTCCTGCTCAGTGCCCCAACACGGAGGCGACACCGAAGTGGGCTTCCTCTCGCCAGAGCCT